CTTTGTTAAAATGAAGCTCATTATTTGCATTCTCTTAAATAGTGTGAGAATTCTTTAAAAATAAAAAACAGACGTCTGGTGGAAGTCTATCCATCAAGTAAAACTTAGTAAGATCCGAAAACAGGATAGAGAATTTCATAATAATGCCTGAGATATACACTCTATATTTTCTTTAGATCTTTACATATCTGGATCAGTTTAAATTTTTATTGTTTACAAAATGAATGTATAAAGTGCTTAAACAAATAGCTTAATTTTATATTTTTATTTTTATTTTTGAGAGTCTGTGTTTGGTGTGTGTGTGTGTGTGTGTGTGTGTGTGTGAGAGAGAGAGAGAGAGAGAGAGAGAGAGAGAGAGAGAGGAGTGAGGAGTGTTCAATTCCCACAGAGGCTAAAGAGAGTTTTAGAGTTTTAGATCCCTTAGAGTTAAGTCACAGGCAGTTATGAGCCAGGAAACAGTTAGGAAACAATCTCTAGTCCCTGAAAGAGCAGCAAGTACTTTTAGCCATCTCTCCAGTCCCTAAGTAGAACATTCTAAAAAGCACTTTGAAAGATGTTTTCTTTCACATAATGCTGAGCAAACATCACCTCAACAACCTTGTGTGTGTGTGGAGGCTTACCTCTGTGTGACAGGAAGGAAGCTGGGATTTGACTGTCCTGTAGGAGCACTCTTTAGTCACAGAGCAATGTCTGCTGTTCTGTCATGTGATTTTCTAACCTCAAACAAATGTGTGTGTTCTCTCAACTTTCCTTTCAATTTTTCCTTTTCAATTTTCTTTTTCAATTTCCTTTCAATTTATTTGAATAATTAGCAATAGTAGCATAATCAATTAAATCCATTGCATTCTAGTTATACTTTATAAGTGTCAGTTTTCCTGAGACACCTACAAGGTGCACACTATTGCTGTCTTTATTTTACACATAGGGAGGCAGGTACCACGCACCCTCCAGTGGGTGGCAAAGCGCTGCTACTAATACAAAGTTTATACTTTGAGTGTCTCTTCTCTGTTTTCCCCAGCCATTTGGGCTCATATGTTATCTTGGAGATTTGGCTTTGTTGGATTTTGAGGGATCTACTGATACTTGGTGAAAGGCCCAAATAGCAAGGTGTCTACCACATGTCTAAACAAATTATAGGCTCACAAAAAACAGCTGTAGAATTAGAGGATATGTTATAATTTAGTAATTAATTAATAATGAATACTAAAACATGTCTAGAAATTAATTATTAAAAGAATATTCTCAAGGAACTGTTTTCTCCAAATTAACTTTTACAGGGGTATATTGACTTCTCTTTTTAAATTTCTTCTAGTTTATAAAACTCTTAGAGTTAAGAAATGAATTAGCGATACGGAGGAAGAATGTTCCGGCATTGTCTCTTTCACAGTGTGTGTTTGGAGCTCGGCTTTGCACTTTTATGAGTTTGCTTCACATGACTCAACATAGTGATATGAAGGCAATATCACTCTCATTAATTAAGAAACCAGATGTGGTTTTGCTACTTTACGTTCTTTTTTAAGCCTCCATCTGATAAAAAGGGCACAGTCTTTCACACGCAAATACAAAGCAGCACAAGAATTCAAATGGACAACAGTTCACATGTTTGAAAGCTATAGGTGCGGTTAATACAAATTCAAACATGATATCTTCTCCTCCCTTTATTGAAATTCCTCAGAATATTTGAAGTTCTGTAGAAAAACAGGAGAATATGAAAAGAGCAGCCCTTTGGTCCTCAGCTTCCGACCTATCACTTCTCTTGAGACCTGTAAAGTGGCCTCTCACATGGGAATGTGGACTCTCATGCCCAGATGTCTACCACACGTCCCTCCACCAACTGCTAGCTGTATTGACACCAGAAGTAAAGCAGTGGTAACTTTGGATCAGAGGAGAAGACTCAGAAAAGAAGCTGAGGTTAACTATAAAAGAAGGCCATGGCACCTGAGCAGAGAACTCTATGATGTGGTTTCGCAGATGAGATCAATTATGCATCATCTGAAAAATTGGAAACCTTGTAGACTTATTAATAAAAATAGTTTTAATGTAAGAAAAAGAAGTATTGGAGAAATAAAACTTAAAGAAGGAGAGCAAAAGGCCTTGAGTTGCAGAATATAACTCTATAATCGCAGCTACCAATTTTTCTAAAGGAAAAAGGGTACCAGAAAAGGGCTTATTTCAGCCATCTTGGTCCAGAAACCAGGTAGCTTCATGCTTCTGCAATGTGTCTGGCTGAAACACAGATCCACGTAAATCTATCAGCCTACATAGGCTCTCTGATAGGCAGGTTCTTTACAGTTGTGTTATCATCAGTCATTGTCCTACAGTCCATGATAGTCACCATAAACAAAGAACATCCGAGAAAACACCGAGCAGAGTAAAAAGAGGGCAGGGTGCTCAACAACAGGGTGTTCTCCTACCTCAAGCACCCTGCTCAGAAACCTTCCAGGTGTGCTGCTGCTGTGTGAGAAGCCTTGTCACACCAATGTGAATATGCATAATGTATGGGTACATTCACACACACATAAATGCTTTATTAAGAATAAATCCCAAGGACAAAAATGAAAACTCCATTTTTCCAACATGGCAGAGGTGATCGAGAGGAGGGGGTATAGATGGAAACTTTTGTTGGAAGCAAAATTATAAAAAAAGAGAGAGCGAGAAAGAAAGACTGAGGGTATTTCAAATTACTAATTGTTCACGGATTAAAAAATAAAACACAAACTACTAGTTAGGAATTGATGTTTTTAAGCAACCAATGGTCAGAAAACTAATCTTTTCTGAGATATGTAAATATAAAAGCCTCTTCATAAGTATTGATTGGGGCTAAGGTGGAAAAATATAAAAAATATTGTGAAAAGTTTATTATAGTAAACATAATAAATGTCCTCCCATAATCCAAAAAAGGCTAAAGGAGTTTATGTCAGAGCTAGGTAAACTGAGCCCACAAGACAACTCAAGGGGTAGAAACACAGGACGGATGGCCTGGGTACAGGCCCCAGAACTCACTGTGGAAAGGAAGAACCAGCTCCTGAAAGTTATCCCGTGACTTCCACATGCAATGTGGCACGCGTGCACCTGCACTAACTCAGATTGTGTGCATACACACATGCTGATAATAAACTGGTAAACTTTTAAAAGACCTGGAGGAAATTCTGAGTGAACAATTGTAGGGATTTGCTAGGGTTGAAGCTTCTAAACAGGTGCTGTAAAAATTAAGCAATCCCTTCATGTAATTTGACTAAATCTTTCTGAGGAGAAAAATATTGATTTTATTGTTTAAACTCAGTCGTTTTCTTGGCTGGTTTGGTGATCCATTTTTATGAAAATATTCCTTGTATTCTAAGAGACTGGGATGATTTTCCTAGACCTCACTGCACAGGTCCCAGTGCACCTTGAGGTCACTTAGGATGGTTTTCCAGCTGTGTATTCACCCTGTCTGTTTAACCTGCTGCCTTTAAGGGAACAGTGTAGCAACCGAACTTACTTGCCTTATGTTTTCCCATGTGAGCATCTTTAACAACCTAAAGATGATCCACAGCTTGAATCTTAAGTTATGAATTCATGCAAGACCCAACTCAGAGCAGACCAGCACATGGTGTGTGTGTGTGTGTGTGTGTGTGTGTGTGTGTGTGTGTGTGTGTGAGAGAGAGAGAGAGAGGGGGGGGAAGGAAGGAGGGAGGGAGGGAGGAGAAGATGGCAATTTTCTGAAAATAGCCACTAGGGCAAAAGCAACCTTATACAACAAATATCTACCGTAAGTGTTTGGAGCTGCATATGGATATTTCTTGGTGGCAGAATGTCTGCTCTATTGCTTGCTATTTGAGTTGGAGTCTGTAACTTATTCACTTGTAAAACTCTGTAGAGGATTTTGGTGAAGTATCCCTCATTCCTTCTTCATATAGTGATTTTGTGTTGTTCAAAAAAGTACAGAGTAAAGCTCTTTGTTAGAGACAATCAGTATATATCAGGCAAAGAACACACAGACTGCAGACAAGCCAGAAACTCAAACCACAGGACTCACTCTTGATCTATTTCACCCCAGGAAAAGTACTTAGCTTTCTTTCCTCAATAGGACAGGGATGCATTTAGTGCTACTGAAGCAATCTTTAATGCATTTAGCTGATGCTGTTGATCATGTCTTTTATAATTAATATCAAGCAAATTAATTAACAGCCCTGAGATCATTTCTAAAAAAATGAAGTTAAACAATACTGCCTATGACTCAAGGTGTGTTTTTAACCCAGCAGTTATAACGTGACCATCTCAGAAATAGGTAAGGAGCTTTAAAACACACGTCTGTTTTCTTTCTCTATCTGTTCTTTAAAATTAAACATTAGAGTTAGCGGCACCTCATCACTTGCCCTCTGGGTGAATGAGGATGTCACTTCCAGAGAAGGCTCTACAACAGTAGACTAGAACATCCATCACCCCGGCATTCCTAGACTCTCACATGTAAACTTCGTTTATCAAACTGACCTGTGCTTTTAAAATTTGGCAGTGCAGAACACAATTCCCTTTGGAGTGCTCATAAAGAGGGAGATTAGTGTTTTTAGACTTTGCTGGAAAGTGGACAAGAGAAACAAACCTGTGCTACTTCAAAAGAGACTCTGGAAAGACACCATCAGCTGGTGTCCTCACACTGTGGACCATTAGTGGGGGCAGACAAAAGGAGGTGTAATATCTTTTTGCCACTTGATGGAAGTTAAGTAGTAAATTAAATTAATGAATTGAAGACTTGCTGGAGGCAAAATAGTAGACACTTGATCTTCCAAGGTGTTCTCTGGTCTTACTATTTAATTAATGCCTATTATCTGTCTGCCAGTAAATACTCATATCAGCTCCCAACAAAGCCACCTGTGTCTCACAACTATTATTACAAGTGATGTTTTATAGTATTTATACTGTCTTCTCTGATACCCAGACTCTAATGTGACTTCCACAGACGCACGGGTTAAAGTAAGAGCGTTCCAAGGAAGGGCACTTCTTAAGACACCTTATACCTCTCATCCTTTAATGAGGCAGTGGGATGTCACCTGCTTCCTTCTCAGCTTTTCTAGAGCTCGCTTCATATCTGTATTTCTCAGTGTGTAGATAAGAGGGTTCAGCATAGGTGTGATCACTGTGTAAAACACAGAGACTACTTTATCCACAGAGAAGGTGCAAAATGGCCTCAAGTAGATGAATACACAGGGAACAAAGATCAAGCTGACCACCGTCAGGTGAGAAGCACAGGTAGACAGAGCCTTGCTCTGCCCCCGATGGAGGTGAGTTCTCAGAGTGAGTAGGATGAGAGCATAGGAAAAGAGCAGGACCAAGAAGCAGACAAGAGACAATATGCCACTGTTAAAGACCATCAGCACCTCAACCAAGTAAGTATCCATGCAGGCCAGCTTAATAACCTGAGGGACATCACAATAGAAGTTGTCCAGTTCATTGGGACCACAGAAAGGCAGTTGGATGACAATAATGAGCTGTGTGATAGAGTGGATAAAGCCTCCACACCAGCAGGCAAACACCAACTGAAGACGCAAGTGGTTATTCATGACCGCTAGGTAGTGCAGAGGGTTGCATATGGCAACATACCTATCATAGGCCATTACAGTCAGCAGAAACATCTCGCTGGCTCCCAGAAAGTGAAGGAAGAAGATCTGGGTCAGGCATCCCGAAAAGGATATTGTCTTCTCCTTCTGTAGGAAGTCTCCTAGCATTTTTGGTACAGCAACACAGCTCAGACATAGGTCAATGAAGGACAGGTGACTTAGGAAGTAGTACATGGGTGACTGGAGCAGATGAGCATCAGCCTGCACCACCATCACTATCAAAAGGTTTCCCAGGATAATAACAGCAAAAATCAATAAGAATGCGAAGAAGAGAAATAACTGTAGCTCCCAGGAAGATGACAGACCCAGAAGAACAAATCGTGACACCTCAGAGCTGTTTTCATTTTTCTTCAAGCCAAGAATATTGAACGACCTAGTGTAAGAAAAATTGAACTGGATTAAGCTAATTAAATTAGGCAAATAGAAAAATTATGAGAAAGATTTTCTTGCACATCTGTATGTACACTGTGCAGCAGATGTCAATCACATTAAACTGAGAAGAGAATGTTTCATGAATAAGGAACTGCTTTGCTCTACAAAGATGCAGACATTCTCCCCTACCTCTCACCCTCCTTACCCCCCCCCAACAGAATTATTCCATAGATAGGGAAGCAGAAGCTCTGTAACTGGAGGAGACAATGTTCTGTCTAAAATCAGCTCTGGGAAAATACAAAATAAGACAAGATTAGTACTTTCTTTTTGTGATATATAGGCTTTCATACTTTAAAAAAGTATTACATTTAACTTATTTATTTTGTATGGGTATGTACATGAATATATGTGGGTACATGTGCACTGTGGAATACATGTGAAGGTCAAAGGGTAACTTTTGGAAGTCCTGTCTCTCTACCACATGGGTCACAGTGATGTCACCCAGGCATGGCAACTGTCACTTTTACCTGCTTAGCGATCGCACTGATCCAAGTTTTGTATTTTCTTATTCCTACTAATCCATTCAATATTGTGGTTCTTTTGAGAAATTCAAAGAATTTGTTTAATAAAATCATTTATACTAGATACAAAAAATTGATACTGAATATGTGGAAAGGTATCTGAATTTCTAAAAGAAAAATCTCTAATAACAAGAAATCCTTCTTCAAAATATTGTATTAACAATAAGCATATGTGAGGAGGATTTGGGGCTGCCATAGCTTTCTACACTGTGACTGTCCTCTCCACTATAGACAAGTCAAAGTTCATCCAACTCTATAGTTTAAACTAGAAAATAGAACAAAGGAAAAATACAAAATGAGAAATATTTGCTTTCATGTGTAGAGACTCTTGAGCTGTGCTATACTGGGATTCCTCATTCTTCTTTTCCTGTATCAAGAGTGAAAATTTTATTCCCTCTTGATGGTTTCTGTTGTTTTATGTGCTTTATGAGGTGGGAGTCTAAAATGTTTAGTTAATAGGATTAAGTGTTTATTATAACTATAAAATAATTTCTAACATAATATTGTATATACTCCAAAAAATCTATAAAGAACACATATAATAAATAAATATGCATATAATATAAACATGTACATGTAAATCTCTAACATATGTGTATGTATATATATATATATGTATGTATTCAAATTTATGGGTTGATGAGATGGTTGCTGCCAAGCCCAATAAGTAGAATCAATCCCAGGACCTACATGGTGGAAGGAAAGAATTAACTCCAACAAATTGTCATCTGAACTCTGTACATATACCCACCCCTGCATAGACACACATTCACACACAAAATAAATTAAAACTGTAATTTACATTTTTATACTGAAGAATTTTCTGAGGTTTGCTTCCTATAGGAAGATGTAATTAATATATTGCTTTTTATTTCAAAAGTACAGGTCTACAGAGAGATAACCTTGTATTAAAATAAGTAAGATTAAAATTAAACCATAAGGGTATATTAAATAAGAAAGTATTAAAGCCTACATGACTACAAGCCATTTTAAATTTTAGTTAATGATCTACTTTTCTAAAGTAATGTCTAATCTTAAGGAATTTCAATGTTATTCATATTTAGATTGGTTCTAAGTTTTATTGCAATAATATTTGGCTAAGAATGCTTTCAAACTTTTGTCGTTAAAAAGATATAATAATATCTTTTGTGTTTGATAATTTGAGTTATTGTTAAAGTATGGACAGGACAGTGGTTGCTATAGATTGGTTTTTTGATGATTCAAGTCATGCATTGCCTTCAGATAATTTAAAACATAACAATGCTCAGTTTACATTCAATATGTAATAAAATTAGTCTGTTTTCTAATATCTTGCAGCTTCTATGTTTCTAAAAATCTCTAATCACAGAAAGGCGATGAGCCTCTGAATGTTCTATGAAGGATACCATCCTTTAACATGAATGAACTCCTACCAATAGATCACCTTCCACCACGACATACTTTATCTTGCCAATAACAGAGCATAATAAAATTTCCTAAAAAATTAAAACTGTGCTCTCCATATGGTCCTATAACTCCGCTCTCTGGGTATGTATCAGAAAGAAATGAAATCAGAATCTGAAGAGATTTCTGATCATCCAGATTAACTGCAGCATCATTAATAAGGGACAGAGAATGAGAATATTCAATCACCCCATCAACTGATAGATGGATAGACATGTACGCAACAGCACAGTGTTTAAAAAAAGATGAAATTCTGTCATTTGCAACACCATAGATAGAACTGGTGAAAATTATGTAAGTGAAATAAGTCAGGCAAGAAAAATGATCCTGGTCTTACCCACATATGGAGTCTACAAGACTGAGCTCATAAAAGTTGAAACAATGCTGATTGGGAGAGGTCAAGTGGAGATGTTATGCATGATAGAGAAAGGTTGATCTGATTACTGAGTACCTAGCTGTAATTAGATAAAAGAAAGCTTTGGTATGCAACAAACAATATGGAAGTCTCCTTCATAAAGCCAGAAGGGATGGTGAACATTTTCACACTAAAACAAATGTTCTAGAATATTGTTAGAATTCACCTTATCCGAATTACACAGTGCACACATGTATCAAAGCATCATGCTTCCTGATTAATATTTATGGTTTACATGATTTGTTTATAAGTTAAAAGTCAATGTGATTTCAAAGTCTTCCTTCCTAAATTCTACAGAAGTGGGCAAATAAACATTTCAGCTTCATCATCCCATTCCAGCCTGTCAGCCCACACTTCATGCTGCACACCCCAGGAATAAGAGGAATTTTCAGAAGCCAGCAGCATGTGTCTACATTTACACATATCACAGAATGAAAACTTCTAGTAGCAAATGTGTGTTTGGGGAAGGACCCCACTGCACAAAGGAAAAAAGAAAAAGAAGCTCTACAAATGATCCAGGTACTTACTAAGAGCTGGGCAACTGGTCTCTGATCTTTCTAAACACAGATCTAAGGGCTGGAGAGAAGGCTCAGCAGTTAAGGGCACCTGCTTCTCTTCTAGAGGAACAGCATTCACTCCCCAGCACCCACATGGTGGCTAACAACCATCCGTCACTCCCTCTTCAGAAGATCCAACACCCTCTTCTGGATTCCGTGGATCCCAAAAATTGTTTTCTTAGATTAAAATGATAAATACCAGAGCATATAGATTAAAAGAATAAAACAAAAAAAAAGCATGTTAAGAGCATCAAAACAGAAAGGAGACCAGGCTGGTGAGTGTGGTTTGCATAAATATTTGTTTGATGGACTTACATCATTCATTGCTTACGAGGAACGATGTGCTTTGGTGAAAATAATGTGGTGTCTGGCTGCTCACCACACCTGTGGTGGAGAACACAGTCATTTTCAGATGACCAGCCCAGTAGCCAAGACTGTGCCATAACAACTTCCTTAAAAAGCCAGTCTCTAGTTAAATGAAGGCTGTGTGAATTAGAAGCATTCCTGTCTCTAGGGCTCTGGCTCTGTATGAGAGTCTCATGGTCATTATGTCACTGCTCACACTAATGAGCCCTGAGATTCCCTGGGCTGTTGTTGTGTGAGGTGCCTGCATCTCAGTTCTTGGTAGGAAACTGACCTGCAATCTCTGGGCTCCAAAACTCGCAGGCCGGAGGCATAAACCAGCCCAATTTTTTAAAATTTAGTTTGAATTGATTAATTTGGAGCTTTATCTGCCAACCAATTTCTATGTCTCAGTCTCTGCCTGAATGAAACGCCTGCCTGTTTATAAGTCAGCAATATTCCTGAAGAGATAGAAGTTGAAGTATTAGCACCAAGCTACCTGGAAACTGTAGAAGGAACACATCCTTCATAATGTTACAGATCTAGATGCATAGCTGAGTGTCTGGCAACACCTCAGGCAGCTTACCTATAGTCATACACATATTTATCTAGAAGAAACAGTCATTATTTTTAGTGAGTGACAATTTTAATAAGTTGCTTTTCTCAAGGTATAATTTTTACATTTTTAGTTAGAATAGCAATTTATCACATCACATTTCTCCTCCCAGCCCCTTCCAGATCCCCTTCCTCGAATCCCTCCCAAGTCATCAGCAAACTCTCAAATTGATATTTTCTTTTTCTTTGATCATTACTGGCATGTAAATATAAAGTATTTATAATTATCAATATAGAAGTATATGTATAATTGTCAATATAAAAGTGTAATTTTAACAATAAAATATACAATTCTCAAATTAAGGAACATTAAACACTCTTTTTAATCTGCGTGACTGTGAATGGTATACAGAAGATTAGTAAGGCCAGATCAAGTAAGATAAAAATGTTACTTTAAATAACCAGAAGATAAATAGAACAATGAAATTAAAAATAAAGTAGATTTTAGTTAGTACCATGAAGAGAAATGTAATTTTGGCTCTTTTCTACCACACATAAAGAAAATTAACAAAATATAAACAGCCTCCAAGAATTCTATTTCACAATATTTATTCATTGCACTTAAATTGTATTTGCCCCTAGTTATATATATACATATATATGTATGTATATATAGCATACACATGTATGTATGTATAGCAAGCACACAGAATAAAGCAAATTTTATTGCCATTAATATAGCAAAGAGCATTCAGTCACTAGTGAGGTCTGAGTCATAACATGTCTGAGGTCACACAGTAGTTCAGGAGAACATCTCAATCCTTTTTTCATTTCTCCACTCCCTGGGCACCAAAGATTGGTATTTAGGCAGTTTGGGGGATTTTTCCAGGACTGCTTCTGGCATGCTGTTCAAACATTGTCCAGATATATCACTTTGATGAGATTAAGTAGAAGTCTAGTCTTGTAATAATATCTTAAAATAAAAGTTATTGACATAGAGTTAGCATGAAAAACATATTTAGCATATTTTACTTTCTTTCTTCTACAGAGTTGTAGTTAGCTCTAAGAATCAAAGAACCTACCACTGATTTTCATGTTAAAACAAGTGCAGGAGGTACAGTATGGCATCAAGAAGGTGCTTTCTCATCCCATCAGCTTGAAGCTTCCTCTTTTAGTTCAATGAGAAAGACCTACAAGCG